TATCTATATATATATATATATACATATATAAAATATATATATATATATACATATATAAAATATATATATTTGTTTTTAAAGACAAAAGCATACAACAGCAGCAGCAACAACAACAACAACAACACAATTGTTTAGGGAAAAAATTTGAAAAAAATTATTTTTCAACAAAAAAGAAAAAATAAAATGAACATTAGTTGAGGAGAAAGAAGAGAAAATATTAAGTAACCAACCATAGCAGCTTTTACTTTCGTTGTTTTATTTACATATATATATATATTTATTTATATATTTATATATATATTTATTCAATAGACATAATAGAATATAGCAGCATGTTTTTTATCATTTAATTTTATTCAAAGTGTTTTATAATTATTTTAACCAATTTGAACTCACATCACGTATAAATGAAATTTTTTTAACGATTTTATAAAAAAAAAAAATAAACAAACAAAACCAAAACAAATTCTGACTTTATTACTCGACATATTTTTATGGAAAATAAAAAAAAAAAAAGAAACCAACAAACAAACAAACACAATGCAGTTATTGGTGAAAAAGATTTTCAAACAACACCTTATTGTAATAAAGACGATTTAAAGTAAATTAAAATGGGAAAAGAAAAAGTTATTAAAAATGACCGATTTATTATTATTATTCATAATTTTTATATATTTATTTGTTAACCAAAAATTCTTTCAAGAATTTAATAAGAAAATAAACAAAAAAAAAAACATGTTTTTATTTAATTTTTTTAAATTAAGAATTTAAGCAAAACAACAACAAAACAAAAAACAAATGTAAGCAAAAGAAATCGTTTAATAAGCGAATCACAGATAAATTTTTGTATTCTTGTTATGATAAATACGGCGCATATAACGAAAAACGGAAAATTGTTATACAACAACAATAATCCATCGGTTCATAAAAGAAATATTGGCAATAGACAGCGAGAATTGACTTTTCTTTTTCTTTTTTTTTTTTATTATTGATTTTCTTTTTTCTTCTGTCCGTACTTCCCCACCTGCCTCTGTAGTTATATTACACTGCTTGACTATCGTATTAAGATATTTTTACTAACTCTACGAATTATTCATAATTCATTCGAATCGCCTAGAAGACCTCTTATACAGTCGTTAAAATTTCAATATTCAGTGCTTACTATACGCTTTGACATGTTAATTATTCATTTATCTATCTATCTTATGGATCAACGATTTTTATTTATTTATTTTTCCTTTTTTTTTTTTTTTTTGTTTTAAGCAAACCTCATTTATTCTTGAACTTTGCATGTTTCGTTAAAATATCTTCGAAAATTTATTCGTAACGCGAGATATCACGCCTCTAAGATTAAAATAGGAATCTAATATTTTGGCAACCATTTCATGTCACAGCAAGTTCAAATTTATTTTAATATAAAAAAAAAAAGTTAAGTTTCGTATTAAATGTAATTTAAAAAATATATATATATAAATGATAATAATAATAATAATTATAATCAATAGATGTTGAGATTCACAAAACAATTTTAATTTAATTGTTTACGTATAACAATTTTTCGTTTCATAAGAACACAACATATATATATATATATGTGCGTGTATGCATGTGCAAAAAAAAAAAAAAAAAAAAAAATTTAAATTTAAAAAAAACAAAACGAAATAAAAAACTTTTTTTGAACTCGAATTTAAAAGCAAGAAAAAAACTGTTTATAATTTTTAAAAATATTTATATTTTTACTCCCTCTTCTTCTTCTATTTCTCTTGTGTGCTACTTTTATACATTTTAATTAAATTTACATATTTTTAACTTAAATTTAAAGAAACAAACAAACAAACAATAATATGTATATAGTTTCTCTAAATATTTATGAAGCAACTGCAGAAAGAAATGTTTTAAAATGTTAAAGAAGTGTTTTTTTTTTTTTTTTTTTTTTTTTTTGAAATAAGTAAAGCAAAAATACAAGAAAAAAAAAAAACGGAAAACAGAACATGGAAAATGCAAAACTTAGAAAACGAATTTTTGTATAAAGTAAAGGGAAGAAAACATGATTTAAAATTATTGCTCGACTTTTTCGAAATTTTATAAAAATCCTCAAAATGCAATCCAAGTGAGTGTGAAGGATCGAAAACGATTAAAGGCGTTGAAGAATTTTAAAATAATTTCTAAATTGTTGAAATCAAACGAAATCAGGTTTTACTTGACTTGCCACAAACCATTAAGATTCCGTCTCTTTCATTTCCCGCAAGTCTGTCCGTCTTGTATGTAATTGCACGTATATTCCGTAAAAATTTTTTAAAAAAATTTCGAAATATTGCTAATAATACCTTATAAATTGTGATGTGAATCTATCGAAAATTTCATACACACGCATATATTCGGATCGCACGCAATTGATAAAATATTCGCAGATTTCTCAAAGTGAAGAGAGAGGAGATCTGTGAAGCTCCTTCTCTCTCTCTCTCTCTCTCTCTCTCTCTCCCTGTCTAACTACTACTTCTAATTATGCATTATAGAATGATTATGACTTAAGTCAGCGAAGATTAAGTATTAAGCAAAATGTCTGATTGTTTAGAAATTTTCGAAATTTTTTAATTGCACGCTTCTTTGGGTTACAATTGCTTTATTTATCACTCTCTTGCTTTTTAAGCATTCTGCATTAAACTTTATTTAATTTTTATAAAATTAATATTTCCTTCAGTCGCCCTTCTCCCGTGTTCAAGAACATTTTCTTCTTACGTTTTATATATAAAAACTACATATATATATATAAAAAAAAAAAAAAAAAACTAGAAAACTCTTAGAATCTTCTAGTAACAAATTTCCAACAAAGCAGCACAAATTCTGAAAAAAATGAAAGAGAGAGGAGTTTTTTAATTTAAAATTTTTATAAAAAATTTATTTTTCAAAGAATTTTAATTAATTGACTCAAGAAGAATGAAAATTAAAGCGAGAAAGAGATATTTTAATTAAAATGACAAATTATGGCCAAATATTGTATTATAATAATCATGCATTATATAATAATTAAAAAAAAAAAATGTATTTTACAAATTTTATTTTTTTTTTATTTTTTACTTTAATTTATTGTATAATAATTTGTTTATTCTTTTTATTGAAATGCAAATTAGTTTTTTTTATTTTTTTCTTTAAATTTAAACTATTTTAAATATTTTAGTTATTAATTTCTTAAACAGACAGGGCAGGATCCCGCTCTATTATAATTATAGCAAAGTAATAATAATAATAATAATAAAAATAAAGAAGGAAGAAATAAATAATTAAAGAAAAGTAAATACATTTTGCTTAGAATATATATTATATTAACAAAAAACAAAACAAAAAAAAATAAATAAATAAAAATAAAATAATAATAATAAGAGAAATATACAAAATAACTGTATTTAGTGGAGAAAAGCAAATTTAAGAAAGACAGCCTTGATGGTTGCAAAAACAACAACAAGAATATATCATTTAACTAGAAAACTAATACTTTAGCATTAAAGAAAGAAAAATTTAAATAAATAAATAAAAGTAAAACAACATTTATTATTAATAAAAAAATACACAGAGAAAAACAAACACCCAAACAAAATGAACTAATTACATTGAAAATGTGTATAAGTTATTAATATTTTAATCTCTACATAAAATGAAATACTTAAACATCTAAAACAAAAGAAAACAAAAGAAAACAAAATATCCTTTAAACTTTGAGTGAAAATAAAAAATGAATGTTGATATGAAAAATTCAAAAAATAACTATTTTTCTCTCTTGTATTTATATATGACTACAACACGCATACACAGACACACACACATATATATATAT